AATTGATTTTAGTGAAAAACCTTGATTACAAAATTGAATATAAAAATTCTCACGATATAAGATATGAACTTATTTTTTATTATTTATTTATAAAACATATCACCATGTACTTTAGTTTTAATTATATGCAAAAAATTAAAAGTTTATATTAAAAAATAAAAGATTTATATTATTAACAAGGTTTAAATACTTAACAAATGCCTAATTAATTGAGTTAAAATTCTAAAGTTTGTTTTAAACCATATAACTTAATTTACTTAAAGTCACAAACATCTAATGTTTATTTATTAATATCTACATGTCTATAAAATGAGATTAAATTAATTCCCTAATTTTATTTTTTTAGTAATAAGAGTAAAAAAGGGAAAGGTATTTTATATTAATCATGTCTTACATTCTTTTTCCAATACGCTATTTTAGATCTCAAACTGCTAATTAAAACATATACTGTATCATTCTATTTGATTTTTAAAACCAATATTTATCCAGCGTGGTATCCTAAAATAAGGAAATAACTTATTTGCTTTATATATATAACGTTAATAAAAATAACACTCATGGTCCATTAGATATTTCTAAATCAAGTCAAGCAACTTGTTTCAAAAACGAATTGATCGATGTTATCTTTCTATGATAGACAATATTCACGCAAGAAATAAGGAGAACAGGTAGAGATCGGGTCTGGGATACTTTACCGACAATCAAAGTAAAGTCGAACTTGATATAGAAATGGTCTTGCGAGGAACACCACGGCCCCCACAGAAACCACAAGATCGTAATCGTGAAAAACGGATTCAAACAGTATTAAATGACCGTAACATTAGATCAACTACAAAGTTTCTTCGGGGCATTGCCCATAATATTTCATTTTGTGTATAAAAATAATAATAATTAATGTGTCACAATAAAAGTTTTTTGATAAATAAATTTAATAAAAAACTAGAAGAATGCTTTATGACAAGTGATGAAGTCACTTGTAAAACTTTTTATTTTAATTAAAAAAAAAAAAAAGAATTTTTTAATTATTATTATTAGAGAAAAATAATTCTGTTTTATTGCTATATTTGTAAAGGAATGGTAGCCTTTTCTTCTAATCTTTTATATTCTTCAATCATGGATTTGTCAGTAATAAAAGCATCATTATTCAAGGAAATTATTTGAACATCTTTCCAAGAGGTACACCTACTAAGTGCAACATATGCTTGCCCAGGAGAAAATATCTGTGAATCTAAAACAATTGAAGTTGATGGTAGAGTTAAACCTTGTGTTTTGTGAACAGTCAGTGAAAAGGCATTTTGTAAGGGGAATTGAGTTCTTGAAGCATATGATCCAATCAAATAAAAATTTGTTGTGATTTTTGACAATTCAATGTCTACCATTCCAGAATTCACACAAAAAACAATCATAACAGAATTTTGTAATATGTTTAAATCTACAACTACTCCAATTGTTCCATTGCAAATTCCTTTATCCATTAAACTATTGTTGAGATACATGACACAAGTTCCTTGTTGTAATCTGAGAGATTGTTTTGTTTCTGAATAATTTAATAGTGTCTGTTAAATCCATTTGTTTACCATCAATAGTATCAATTGCATCTCATATCCAAAATTTATCATTTTCAACTGGTAGCATGTTACAGATCATTCTGTTAAATCTTGCTTGCAGTTTCTCTATAACCAACAATGTAAGTAGTATTAAGTGTTTCCTCCAGTGTTTTTTGTTGATGAGATTCATTAAATTTTTGAAGCAAAAAGTTATGAGTTTCCTGAGTAATATTCCCAAAACGAATATCTTCCAGAGCTTTGTAATAGAGAAAATCTTGATTTTGCCTTTGAGGTTGGCATAGAAATAATAGATAGAATAGTTTCCAAACTGAAGATTTATATACAGGCAAACCTGAGGCAGGTGGCAGTTGGGCTAAATCACCAACTACAATAACACTTAACCCACCAAAAGCAATTGTGTTTTCATGGATTTTAGCAAACATTTCAGAAATAAAAGTAAATAGCAATGCAGACACCATTGAAATTTCTTCAATAATTAATATATCAATTTTTTGAAGTTGTTTGAAAAATTGTGTATCAGAAAATGCTAATGTTTTGTATCTGCTATCACTTTCCTGGATTCTTAAAGTGGAATGGATTGTTTGTCCTCCAATGTTTTGAGCTGCAATTCCTGTAGGAGCCATTAATAAAAAATTTTTTCTTTTTGAGATCAGATCATTAACAATAAGTCTGGTCACATAAGTTTTCCTGTTCCAGCTGAACCAGTTATGAAAAAAAAATGGATATTTTTTTGTGTCATTTAGAGGCCCTAAAAGATTCTTTATTATGCAATTGATCATCAGGAAGATCTATAATAGTATTTTGTGGATTTATCATTGGAGAAATCTTCAAGCTATTCAATTGTATTTGTAAGAACTGAGAAATATTGTCACATAACAGGTCTTGAAGATTATTCAAAATGTTTTCCATGATTTGAGAAAATTTGGCATTAATTAATTGTTCCTGGTTTCTAATATAATTGGCAGTATTTTGTTGTAACTGATTATGTATTTCTGGATATAAAAATAAAAAATGTTGTTTATATGTGGCATAATTTCCAAGTATCTCTTCCTCAGATCTACATGGGAAATTTGTTGGTAGAAATATTGTTCACCATCTTGCAATTTTAAATAGTGAAATCTTACTAGTTTTTTTGTTGTTCTTTTTACTACATAATTTCCTAATAGATCAATATATACAGGATAATTTTTTGCATCAGGTCTACCTTTTATTATGTTATACTGCTCAAAATAACTTGGATAAGTTAGTTCATTGAATTCTTCATGATTAGGCCTTGCAAAATATTTTTCAATGTGGTCATTCCAATAAGGAGATTCTTCATCATTTAAAAGATAATTAATAGGTTCCTGAAGATCTACTTGATAAATGATAAACGTATTAACCCTTTTAATTGAAAAATTCGATAAATATGGAAGGTTACATGCATCAAAACTATTTAATAAAAAAAAATTTTTATTATATGTTTAAAAAATAACATGAATATGCAATCTTTATCAATTTCGTCGGACAAAAAAAATATATTACACATGTATCTATATTGTATTTTTATGAACTGGTTTTTGATGCAAAGTAAGGATAATAAGTGGTGTTATTAGTTAATTAACGGTCGATTTAACTTATAAAAAACCAAACTTTTAGTTGTCCAGGTCTTCACACAGTCCTTGGCAAATTGTTAACACAATACTTGTCGGTAAAGTGTCCGGGTCTGATCACACACACACGTATACATTTTTTAAAAAATAAGATCGTCACAAATAACAATATTAATATTATTATTATGTGTATCTTTTTTTCCCTTTTTAATTCCACCCAATTATTTAAATTCATTCAAAAAACGAAAATGATATATTTGTAAAACTAATTGTAAAAAATAAAGCTAATATACACATATATAAGAAAGGTTCGTAGTTTTTTATGCAAACAATTTCCTTATTTGTATTTCTTAGTAATAAACTGAACACAGACATGACTTTTCATTATAAAAACTGAATACAGACTTTTCATCTATTCTTGAATTTAACGTTTAAAAAAAAAAAAAATAGAAAAAAAAATTTTGAGAAAAAAATTGCATTTGGTCTAATTGAAACTCTAAAATTATATTGTGCATAGAGCATTCCGTATATCAGTTTTAGACGCTTTATTTTTTATTTTTTTTTGGTTTAATTATATCCATTTTTATTACAACAAGAAAATTCCAGTAACTAGTTAATCAACAATTTAATCGTCATCAGGAGTTTCACATACATATGCATTAATTGGTTTGTCGATATCATTATGGCAAATATGAATAAATCAAATATGACAAAAAAGTATTATTTAATAGTTAAACCCTGGGTAGTACGGGTATAAGTTCAATTTTACGAAGTAAAATTGAGCTTAAACTTGTACTATCCCAGTGGTTTAACTGATTTATCCCCCACCATTTATGCCATTTTTACGTGTAACTTTTTCCACTATCAAGAAGA